GTGGTGTTAATCATGGGATCACACAATTTGATGAGGGGGTGGGGTGAAGGAAATGTTTTAGAACTTTGTAAATAAGCCAGTAATTACACACACACACACACACACACACACACACACACACACACACACAGCGATCACAGGGGGGGAGAGAAAACCCAAACCAAACTCATTATAAAGGCAGAACCCTGTGTTCCGCCTATCTATCAGCCTCCAGCCTCCCCAGCAAGAGGAGCCGCCACCATGCATAAGAGGGGCCACCACCATGTCTGCCCTCCTGGTCGTTGTGTAACTGCTCCAGCTTTCTGATCCAGAGGAACAAGCAGGGAGCTCAATCATCTCAAAGCCAGGGACAATGGGTTGATCCACTGCCAACCCGTGGGCGTGAAGCAGGCTGTCAACGGCAAGGGGGGTTGTGGTGATGAAGAGGAGGCCACTTCTTACATGCAGACCACCATTCTCAAGAACCCCCCAGGCCACGCGCAGCAGACCCAGACCCAGACCCAGCGCCATCCTGAGCAGCCACAAGCAGCCCAGTGAGGAGAAAGTGGACACGCCCCACAAAGAACTCCTGAGCACCTCCAGGCCCCAAAATAAAAACCACTCCTCTCCACCAAGAGAAGGGGGGGGGGAAATCACAGCCACTGAGTTGGAATTGACTGAACCTCCAGTGGGTTGCTGGGAAGGGTGGATTGACAATGACCCCCCCAGCATGTCTGAAATTGTGAAAATGGCACAGGATAGAGCAAGGTTCAGATGCTGTTCACAGAGGGAGGTGCCACCCATGAGTTAGCAAGGAAACTCCCCATGGACTGCACCACCCATGCCCCCTTTTATCATCTTGTTGTTATGTGCTTTCGAGTCGTTTGCAACTCATAGCGACCCTATGTACAACAGCCCTAAACCCTACTCTATCCTGTGCCAATTGCACTGCCTGACACACCCATCCCGATTACCCCAGTCACTGAATCAATCCATCTCATAGAAGGTCTTCCCCTATTGTGCTGTCCCTCCACCCTCCCAAGCATGATGTCCCGCTCCAAGGAGCTCAATTTATTCAAAACTACTGAACTGCTCAGTTTTGATCAAAGACACAAGTGTATGAAATGTTGAATGGAACACCAATTTACTTTATAAACTTTCACCCCAAACGTGTATGAAGTGTTGAATGGAAAACATCAGTTCTGTAAACCTCTACCCAGTTCGTTAAAAATTTAGAAAAATATTTAACATTTTTTAAATACAGTACCCAAATGGAAAGAAAATACAAAAAAAAAAAAAAGAGTACTGGAATGAGAGAAATCTGGAGTCAAGCCCTAGTTCAGCAAATACTCACCTTGGGCACATTATTTAACCCTCTGCAATTCCACAAAATTTCCCCACTATGTCACAGTACACAGCAGGGTTTAGGGATGTTGTACATAGGGTCGCTATGAGTCGCAAGCGACTCAACAGCACATAACAACAAGAAGTCCCATGAAAATTCCAGAATTTCAAACTCAGAAGTCCAGTTGATTCCTCTTCAACCTGTTTTATAGTTACCCTATAAAATACCACTGAACAGGGTGGACTTTAATATAGCAGTATCACATATATCTCCAACAAATTAAAAATTAAGTATTTATCATTTTAAACGAAATGAATGTGTAATTTACCAAATATTACAGTTTGTATCTCCATCTCATCTGTAGTTTTTTTTTGTCCCTAGGAGTCACTGAGTCCCAACAGACTTAGACTGTTATATGGAGATTTTTCCTATTTTTGGCTTGATAAAAATAATCCGTTTAAAAAATTATAGTAGACATTGAATGAATTCTTGGACTCAACTAGCTGAAATCTGTTCTTTTACAAGATGAAGAAATGGAGGCATAAATAACATACAGTTAAACAAAAAATACTATTTCGAAAGATTTTTTATGACATGGGAAATATTCAATACAGAATGCTGAATAGAAGAAAAAGGAATTGTAATTGCTAGGTGCAAATGAGTCAGCTACACCTCAGAGACCCTATGAACAGATTGAAACCTTGCCCTAGCTTACACCATCCTCAAGATCTGTCATGCTCAAACCCATTGTTGTAGTCACTTTGATTAAAAAGTTATGCTTGGAAAAGGTGGGAGAGAGGAAGACCCTCAATGATATGGATACATCAATCATACGAATTGACATAGTGACAGCAACTGGTTCATGTGTATCAGAGATAAGGTTCAGATATGTTGTTCATTGAGTGACTCTAAGTAGGACTTGACACAATGGCAGCTAACAACATGTACACTAAGATCCTATGTTTTAAAGGCAAGTAAATACACAAGATCATGGTTTATAGTTGATTCTTATTACTCTGAATGTCATGGTTTTAAGAATAATCATATTCTTTATGTAACCTAAAATACTCAAAATAACATTTTATGCTTTGAATTCAATAGGATATGTATTTTTTAAACATAATGAAAAATAAAGTATGGTGGCACTGAGAAACTTAGTGATTTGTGCAGGATCTCTTAATTGAAATCAAAGTAAATAATTTGGGTCCCGTAGCATTTAATCTAGGACTCTTTCCACACCAACTTTTAAGATGTAAAAATGGTTTTGTTCAAGTCAATTTTCATTTCTTTTACCACTACTGCTTTTTCCTCCATTTCTATCCACAATGACAGTAAACAGTGTTAAGAGATTATATTTTATAATAGTATTACCAGAGTACACTGCAAAGTAACTGACAGTTGATGATAATCTCTTAGCCTCTATTTTGCATTATTTATCTTTGGAACTTTACACTAATACAACTCCTGGTACATAATATACTAAAAAATATTTGGTTTTCACCTCCATCTCCTGAGCAATACCTAGAAGACTTAAGTATCAGACCAAAAGAAACCAGCAAAGCTCATTATTTCATATTTGAGATCTCCAAGCATTTACAATGTAAATGAAGGACTGACTAAACAAGAAATGTTTACAAGCAAATGGATAGGGAATATGTCACGAGAACATTTTCAATACTTCACAAACTAACCAGTAAATCAATTACAATTCTTATCTGCTGAAGTTGGGCTAACTTTTAGTCAGTATTACTTTGTCAGTCCAGTCAGTCATCGAATGTACCAGAAAATAAAATTATATCTGTAGTACAAAGGGCAAAGGATCTAGATTCTAGCCCAAACTCTGCTGATAATCGAATATAAAACCTGGAGCAATTAACTTTTTCTTCTCTGGGTCTAATTCACCAACTTGTGAAAATAAGAGAAAACGGCCAGTTACCAGGGTTTTTATCCTGTCTAACTTATTTTAAAAAATATTATACTTTTATCCACAAAGATTCTGTAATTTGGATTTTATGAACTGTGTCAAATTCTATTTTCTGAATGTTACAGAAGAAGCTTACCAAATTAAGACTAGTAACATAAATCCTTTTTACCATCTATATTCAGAGCAATAGAAGAGTCAAATGAAAAACTTGAGCCTCCAACAAATTATGTCTGCCATGCTGCAATTCAGACAAACATAAAGAACAATGGATTTTACAATACAAACCATTAGTCTGATAGTTATGGAAATATAGGTACATAAATGTACATACACACATTCCCCCTTATACAGTTATATTGACATACATGTGCAAGAGATCTTGAAAATGCAAATTCTAAAACTAATACTTGTTTATGTTAAAATAAGTCGAAACAGAACATTAACCCACTTGTCAAGTCCAAAGGAATAGGGTCTCAACAGTTTTTTCCCCTTCTCAACACTTTCTAAACTTAAACTGCAGTCTAAAATGAGAGTAAGGGAAATCTGAAGCTTCTAAAAAATAGTAAATACATTGAGATAGTCACTGACACAAAGCACTGTACTCTTCAGACTTATACGCTGAACTGACTACTTTTCATGTTGGGGAGACTTGTGGAAGAGTTTCATTTCAGAAAGAGCAGTGGGCATGGAGCCAGGAAACTGGAATCTAATCTAACTAACTGAGTAGCCTTAGGGAAGCCATGAAAGCTCTCTGCCTTAGTTTTCCGCTTTAGTAAAATAACAGGGTTGGGCTAAGATCCCCTTTCAACTCTCAAATGTTATCAATTCTAAGATGGCCGTCTGTAATAGTGTTCTCTTGAACTGGCTGCAACAAATATATTTTTTTTTTAAAAAAAAAGAAGAAACACTGTATCAACCTCATACCATAATTTCTGCATTCCAATGATCAAGGTGTTGCAGTGACAAACCTAACGATGTCATTACACTTAAAAAGCAAACTAGTAAAGGATTAACATCTGACAGGCTTTTTTACAAAGCTCTGATTGCCTTTTTTTCCTTCTTTTTTGGAGATGGAAGAGACTGTTGCTTAGTTTTAACAATAACCCCCACCCATCCCACCCGAATAAAAGAAAACAAGTGCATTATGGAGTCCAAGTAATGAAACTGAAAGTTAAATTAATATTTTGTTTTACTCACAGAATATGCTGAGGAGGTGACTTGGGCAGCAAAGGTTGAAAAGAATTACTAGCTAATTTACTCTTCCGGAAGCTCTTTGGCCCCACTTCTTTCAGTTTCACACAACCCTGCCAGACAAACTCCACCCTGCTCCACGCACGCCGCCTCGGGACCGCATTGGGGGTTTGGGAAGGAGGGGTGTCCCCTTTAATCATTATTTTTGAAAAAGTTCTTGGACTCTACGTACTTTCGGAGTCACAGGTTGAGAGAGAAGGCCAAATCGGCCAGAAGCCAGCCACCCACTCCAGCCCGGCTCAGACCAGCCCAGGAGCCCCGGGAACAGAACCGAGTCTTCCCGCCCTCCCCGCTGAGTGGGGCCTGGGGAGGGAGGGAAGAGAAGGATGAGGAGGAGGAAGGGCAAGAGGGTAGCCCACACGGGTAGTACCCACCACGCCAGGAGAGCTGGCCCGAGCGCCCGCGGCGCCCGCTGGGGGTCCCGAGGGGAGGGTCCCGGAGGAGGGGCGGCCCGAGCCCCAATCTGGAGATGCCAACACCGCTCAGTGGCCCGGCCCCCGCCTAGAAGGAAACGGAAGTCCTGGCGTCGTCCTCACCCGCGTCCACCAGCTTGCCCACCCCTCGAAGGAACCCCAAGTGTGGGCCCCCGAAGTGCGTGGACGTCAAGGGCCTTAAAGAGGCCCGGGGCGCACTGTTCTTCTCCCTGCCCCAGCCGCCCCACAGCCCCGCCGCTCCTTCACACCCGCCCCCGCCTCGAGAGCGCCCTCCCGCCCAGCCAAGCCCCACCTTCTTCCCCCCTCCGCCATTTTCGAACTTACCCGGGGGGGGGGGGGCGGCGACCGTCCTGTAGCGTCGCGCGCCCACCGGGGCGCGCACACGGTCCCGCCACTTCCCCGCGCTAGAAGGGGGCCGACGGGAAAAAACGGAACCCTCTCTTCCACGCCCCCCCACCCCGGGTAAGAACTAGAAACTGCTGGAGCGGGTGCACATGCGCAGTGAATGCCTCCCAGACTCCGCCCGTCGCGCTGGCTTTTCATCTCGGCCTCGAGGATTTTTTTCCCCACGGTTTTATCTGCTGGGGTACATGATTGAGGAACAGGGAAAGTGAACTCTTTAGGGTCGAGGCGGAACTGACTCAAAGCTGACCCTTCCCAGATTTTACGAGGCTGTAAATCGCACGGTGAGGAGATGACCCATCTATCTCCCTCTGAGCCGCTGGTGGATTTGAACCGCCAGAGAGGCGCGTCCAAAGGAGTTAGCAAAAAGAGAAGTAAATAACGACTGGGAAAAGAAGATGGCAACGAAAGTGTTGGATTCTTAATGTACAGACGAGGCACTGTACTAGACCTAGAACATGTTCTTTGCTGCCATTTTAACGGCCATGTGAGGTAGGCACTCTTATTAAATCCATTTTACAGAGGGCCAGAGACAGTATTATACTACCCTGTAAGCACAGACTTCCTCGTGTTTACTTAAGGTGTGACGAAGTTTCCCATGTTTTCACCACGTCAAAGATAATGGTGAAACCCATGCGAAATTGTTTACTGCACATTAATAAATGGGTTCTTGTGTGTCAGGAGGTATGAAGTATGGCGCAGGATAGAGCCGGATTCAGATCTTTTGTTCATGGGGTCACCATGCGTCGTGCTCAACTCGACGGCACCTAAAAACAACTACAACGTTAGTCAATAAGCCCATATTTTTTTACCTTGCCTCCTGCTCAGAGAGGATAACTGTCATAAGACCACGCAGCTAATAAAATGAGGGAACTGCAATTAGACTAGAATCTGATTCCAAGGAGAAAGAATGATAGGAATAGCAAGAGTGAGGAAAAAAAGCATTGGGAGGTAAAGGAAAATGAACAGTTGTCTCAAGTGCTGTCCAGTCGAGGGAGCAACCCTATGAACAAAAGGTCTGAACTCTGTTCTAGAACTATTGTATCTCTAATGTTCTTAGGAGTTTCCAAAAGCATATTGGTTGTCAATGAACAGTAGGAGGGGAGTAGAGAAGTGTGGGCACGTAATATACTGACCCTTCTCCAGATGTATTTGAAATATGTTGTAGGATTGTCAGATCTGTATAGAAATGGTGTTTTCAGGAACTTGAGCTGTCTTACAGGCTAGTATAATGAACTGCTTGGTTCTGAGACTGTTGAATTCCAATGGAAAGATGAGAGAACTTGAAGAGAGGAAAGATTTTGCCTTTTGATTGTTGTGCGTTCGCTTCAACTGATGTTATTCTTTCTGATTCTGTCCCTCAATCTTAGTTTCCGTAATGTCCTCTCACTTATGGCAGTAACAGTATTTGTCAACAAATACTTCTCAATTAATTCTCATAGCAATCATTTAACTTATGTAGGTGTCTTTTACCCCATTGTACAGGTGAGGAAACTGAGATTAAGAGCGGTTAAGCTGGAGCTAGAACAATGATTTCAATCCAGATCTGTCTGATTACATAATGTCTGACCATTAAGTAGTTAAAATGACTTCTCTGCCCATTAGCACGGGCCTTCTAATCCAGTAGATAACGAAGTTCTCCGGCTTGTCAGATGGCCAGTAAACACATGAAGAAATAACTCAAGATCATTAACTCCAGTTGTTCTTGTCTCCTTTGGAACAGCTGGTGGATTCCAGCTGTGTACCTTTGGGTTGGCAGAATGATTCCTTACCACTAAGCCACCAGAGCTCCATTAATTGTTTAGAGAGCTGCAAATCAGAACAACCTGATAACCATTTCATCCTAACAAAAACAGCAATGTTCAGTAAGATATCAAGTAATGCCATTGAGGCTATAGAGAGATTGGAACTGTCAAACACTGCTGATGGAAATGTAAAATGATGCAAATACTGTGGACAGCAGTTTGCTATTTCCTTGGAAAGTTAGGAACAAAAATCCCATTTGATCTAGCAATCCCACTACAAGATATCTATTTCAAAGAATAAAGCTACATTGTGTATTGAAGCATTATTTATAATGGCAAAGAGATGAAAACAACAACCAAGGTGTCTACCAATGGACAAAATGGCTAAAGAAACTGTGATACACTCCCATGATGGGGTATCATTGTTCTTGTTATGTTGTTATGTGCCATCGAGCAGCCAGCAACTCACAGCGACCCTATGTACAACAGCCCTAAACCCTGCTCTATCCTGTGCGGATCTTATTCTCTCTGACACACCTACCCCCATTTAACAACAACAACAACAACAGTTGTAATTAATTCTGTAAAAAAAAAAAATCTTTAAAAACACTGAAGTTCCTGGGTTGAACCCTTCAATACTTCTGTTGTGTCCAAGATAATGGTGAAATGCTTTAGATTTGTGTTCACTCTCCCTTAGATACCGTACTTACTATACTTTACAATAAACCAGAACTATTCACTGGGCCCTCCCTGTCCTCAGTGTTCATGCCAGTAACTTGTTTGACTTATTCCCGCTGCATAAATGAAAAATAGCGAGCTCTGGTGGCATAGTCATAGAAAGTTGTGCTGCTAACCAAAGGCTGCACTCCTCTCTGGAGGTTCAAATCTACCAGAGACTCTGCTTCAAAAAAATGGGCAGTCTCCTCCTGCCTTGGAAACCCAAGGGAGGGTCAGTTACGAGTCAGAAGCAACTTGACAGCAATGAGTGTAAGAGAAGCAAAAACTGCCTATGCACCAAAACCTTCAATGATTCCCCCAGAAGATCAGTTTCCCACCTAAACTCTCCTATCACTGGAATTTGTCCCTCTCTTACAGAGCACAATGTTTTCTGCCTTGGTATAGTTAATTGTGTATGTCTTATCTCTCCGTTTGTTGTTGTGTGCCCTCAAGTCAGAACGGACTCATAGCTGACCCTCCAGTGGGATTTCAGGGGCAGTAAATCACACAGGAGATTTCCCATCCTTTCATGGAGCTGCTGGTGGATTTGAACCATATACCTTTGGGGTTGCAGTGCAGCTTCTTACTACTAGGCGACTAGAAGACCTCCCTCTACATTGTTGTTGTTGTTGTTATGTGCCGTCGAGTCATTTGCGACCCTATGTACAACAGCCCTAAACCGTGCTCTATCCTGTGCCAATCTCATTGCCTCTGACACAACCATCCCGATTACCCCAGTCACTGAATCAATCCACCTCATAGAGGGTCTTCTCCTCCTGCGCTGTCCCTCTACTCTACCCAGCATGATGTCCCTCTCCAAAGACCTGTCTCTCCTTACAACATGTCCAAAGTATGTAAAACGAAGCCCCAGAATCCTTGCCTCCAAGGAGCAGCCTGGTTTAACCCTCTCTAGGGTGAATCTGTTTATTTTCTTGGCAGTCCATGGAACATTCAGTACTCTTCTCCAGCACCACAGCTCAAAGGCATCAATTCTCCTTCTATCCTCCCTAGTCATTGTCCAACTCTCTGATGCATAACAAGTGATT